AATGACCAGAGATCGGGCAAAAAAAGGACATATCATCCTGTTTGCCTCATGTCCTTTGCTCAGCAGGCACTTTGAGTATGTTGATATTGTCCAGCATTTTACTTAAAAATATAAGAATGAAGTTTTACAAAGATATTTGCAAATATGTAGATAGTAACTATCAACAGCTGCTGAGCCACAGCAGAACCAGATGGCTTAGCTTATTTCCAGCAATAGAAAGAATTTTGAAATTGTTTCCTGTTCTGAAAGATAATTTTTTATCACTTAAAGAAATATCAACTATGTTTAAAACTTTTTTTAAAAATGATTTTGCAGAAATATATCTCTGGTTTATGCATTCACTAATATCTGTTTTCCAGTTCAAAATTGAAGCCGTGGTGTGAGAAGAAAATTGTCTCAGAAATTATAAACTTACTCCAATCAACACTGACATCTTTGAAAGCTCAATTAAGTTAAAATTTTGTTCCAATGAAAGTCAGAGAACTCATGAAAAATCTACATCAAGGAAATACTATGGAAAAAGTGTGTCATAGTTTTTATAAAGAGACTCAGTTGGTATACCAAAAATGCATTAGTTACTTGGAGAAGTAGGTATTGATCATGTCAAGTTATTTGACCAGTTTTACAATCTTAAGACCTTTATGAAAAAAAAAAAAAAAAAAGTAAGAAAAAGAGACTTCTCTGAAGATCTCATGCTGCACCAACAGTGGTGTTCCTTCATTCAAAATGCACAAATGCAGACTGCTTTTCAGAGTTGCTAAAAATCTGTGAATTTTTCTTCAGCATTCCAGGACACAACATAAACATAGAAACCGTTTTTTTAACTCATCAATGCTCAGTGGATGAAGGAGAGAAACCGACTGACAGTGCAATCTGTTAAGGTTATAATCCTCACGCAATATAATATAGATAAACTTTTTTGTGAAGCATTTATTTGCTTGAGAATAAAAGCTTACCGAAAAAAATAAGTTCATCTGAGAAATACCAAAATTAAGATGAATGCATTATTTTTCTTTAGATTTATTCAATTATTAAACTGTTTGTTCATTTATAATTTTTTTCTAACCATTTT